TTTTAGGACATGTACGGTAGAGATTAAAATTAGATTAAAATTGAAAAATTAACCGTTATTGTTGACTTTTAGTAGACGAGTGGGGGCTAATAACGATTATATTTTCAATTTTAATTGGATTTTAATCGGTATCAAACCGGCCCATAATGTAGAAGTTTTACTGTATTTGTTGTTCTCCCGGCAATGAATAATACAAGCAACGTTCATCAAGCAAAAGCGAATAATTACAAAATGAAATAATCATTTCATAAAAAGTAAGCAAATCTAGGCAAATTAATAAACCAAAATAATTACAGATCCAAATTCCGTGTCCTCCCGTGTTCATAATCATTGTGTTTTTTTCCCAATTTTGATTTTTTAGTAGTAGAATTTGCAGAATTGCAGTGGTATGATCATTGAGTTCATTTCAATTTTGAATATTAATTTGAAATTCGTGAGGACAGGGAGTGTGGGGTTTGGGTTTTGATTCGATTTGATTTCAGTGTGGGGAGGTGATCCTCCATGCATATGATGTGACGAATAGTGATTTAGACAAGACGAACAATACAATTATGTAGATCAACAAGATCTTCAAAGACGGCATTGGCTTTGGTGGCATCTTTCACATCGATGTTCAAGTTTTTGCATTCTCTCTATTAGTTTGATCTCTTTTTGAGTAATATTTTGTAAAACAACATTATAAATTAACGTTCGGTAGGATGTCATAAATTATATACTTGATGATTCGAGTATAGTAAGACACAATTTGTGACGTGGTCAAAATATATCGTTCACAATCGGTACATAAAGTTGGACGCTTTATGTTGATGAGAGTGCATTGTTCGTATTGAGATTTGTCTAGATTTGAAAATAAGAACAATAATGTGTTTTTGATGCACATTGAATAAGACAATGTGGATGTTTCATTTGTGACCACTCGAAATGAGATTCTAATCGATTATCAAACAAGTCACCTAAATCCTGAGCGAGTAAAATACCTTTCATTACTAATTCAAATTCTTTGAGGTACCAATTAATGAAGTCTTAATTAAAAGATTCATCTTGGTGCTTTGGGAATTGGGTTGAAACAGTTAGTGATCATATATTTGCAATAGTGAAATCAATTAATCATCATGATGAGACTTTCGTCACTCTAAGGCATTTTCTATAGGCAATTGAACCTGAGCTCAAAAATCTGACAATGAGATCGTCGGACTCTATGTTGTGATTTGTTCACAACGAATTTGCCTTATGAAAATGAGACTTGTAGTGTAATACAAGTTGAAAGGCAAAATGATTATTTTGTCGGTTTCAACATATTGACGGTCAAACGGGAGTTGACTTGTAGAACGATAATCAGAGGATATTGTTATGGGAAGCATCTTACCCTTATTAATGAGGATTTTAAAACAGAATCCTATCTCAAGGTAATCTAAGATCCAATATTCACTTGGGTATAGTTTCAAAAGAAAATTAATTTCTTTTTGTAATGATTAAATCCAATAACCAACACTCTCTATAATCTCATACATATGTAATGTATATGCACGTCTGTACCATGCATTTATACGAGTTGTACTTGATGACTTGATGGATTTTTTATCTGTGAGTTTAGTCTGGTTAATTAGATTTATTACAAGCATGTCAATAAAACTCACCCAGGAACATTAAATCTAGCTCGAAAGGAGAGGGAATGAGGTTGATGGAGGAGTGTTACTTGTAGAGATGGAATAGCACTTATTAGCAACTTTAAACCAACAACAACAAAAATAAATATGCAAGAAAGATAAAAACAATTAAAAGAACACAAGGATTTTTCGCCCTAAGGCAAGAGGTTCGGAATAAATCCTAATCCCCTTTTGAGCTTCCACCAACCGGAAGAGATCACTATATTAACCAAGGATCAAAGTCCGTTCAAAATTACACCAAGACACTCAGCAAGAATCAATGTTCGACAGCTTTAAACAGTCCAAAAACTTATTTAAAGGCAGCACTCTAGTTCCAACATCAGCAGGATTAAAATGAGTAGAAATTTTCTCAAGTTTCACAACACCTTGTGAGATGACATCTTTAATGAAATGAAATTTCACATCCACATGTTTAGATCT